GTATTAACTGGGCTTCCCTGTAGGCACATGGATATTATCCTATCACAGACAGCATTGTACCTCATGACTGATCTGGATATGTTCTTATTGACAATGAATGCAACACCATTCCTCTTCAATTTGTCATTCCCAGCATAGTAAACCATGTGGTTGTCAGATTCAAAATGGCAAATATCACTCCATTCCAGCTCACTAATGCCTGAGATATCGATGTTTATGCATTCCATTTCATTTTTTACAACTTTCAATTTTCCCAGATTCATACTTTGTACATTCCATGTTCCGATTTTCAATGGATGTTACAGCTGTTTCTCTTCATTTTGAGTTGTGCCCCATCAGCAAATGAAGGTCCCGTGGGCTTTTCTCCCACGGGCTTTACTCCATTCACATCATCACGGTCAACTCTACTTTGAGGAGGCATCTCTTCCCCAGTCGCATTTTGAGTACCTTCCAGCCTGAGGGGCTCATTTTCTGGCACTACATCTGACAGTGTTTCTTTGCTATTCATAAGGTTTTTAGTGACTAAATATTCAGAAGTAGTTCGTCACTCTTTCTTCCTAGTCTGTCTTCATCTGGAAGCTCATCTGAAATCTGTCCACCATGGGTGACCCTGCTGGTATTTAAAATACCGGTGGCATAGCTTTCAGTATCACAGCAACTCACAAGCCACCACAATAAGACAAACTGACGGGAGAGTGGTGGACTAGATTTCACAAATTATTAGTTCTGAAGTTGTTATGACAATGGGGTGTGGCAGGAAGAAGCTAGTCAAAACCTCACTGGATGGCAGCAGTTCCGCAGGTCCTTCCTAGCTATGAGAAGAGCACTACTCTCCCCAGGCAGCAGGACTCCAGTTTGATAGAGCAGTGCAAACAGTTAATCATTCTAGTACTAACTGAAACTTTGGTGGTTAGAACCCACCCAGAGGCATCTCAAAACAAAGGCCTGGCAATCTGTTTCCTTAAGATCACAACTTTGAAAAGGCTATGGAGCAGGGATCTACTCTGCCACCTATACGGTTACCATGTGATTGAACAGCAACTAATTAGATTTCTTTGGTATAACTCTCTTTACATGGCTCTCCTCAGCCTTTTACAAATTCCACTGGGATCCACCCTACCCACTGATCACATGCACAAAACTCAAGATACAAATAAGGGAGGCTTCAAAATTTTTGTGGAAAATTCCATTACCTTTTTTTTTATTCTTAAACAAACTTTTCAAAGCCGAGTTCCAGTCATATCCCTGAACCTCCAACCACCTTAACCTAATGGAGTTTTTCACTCTTAAGCAATTAGCTTGACCATCTATTCAAATGAGGAAATAAGAGGTAGGGTGTAAATGATGAACCAATTTGTTAATTTACTCAATAATGTACCAATATTGCTCTGGGAGTTTGAAGGAGTGAGAAAAAGTTAATCTGTGGCTCTCAGACGGATCACCATCATACTGCCATCATGGACACCAGCCTGTGCTGTCAATGAAGTTGTCCAGAGTCACCAAAGTTTGGGGCAAGAACAGTTCACAGGGACTGTGCACGCTGATGCGCGTGGAGTTCATGGACGACACAAGCTACTCCATCATCCGAAAAGTGAAAAGCCCTGTGTGCGAGGGCCACGTGGTCACCCTAGTTGGGAGTGGGAATAAGAGGCCCAGAGACTGAACTCAAGCTGCTGTCGGATCCTGGATGCCTGGTCCACCACTTGAACTAAGTGGACAATCAGCGATTGTTCAACAGAACATTTATAAGTTTTAAAAAAAAAAAGTTAATTTGTGTAAATCATCAGGTCATATTATTTCCCTACTTAAAAATATTCAATTACTTCCTATACTAGAATTAAAGACAGACAATAAATATCTGGAAAAAATAAACTTTTTTTTTTTTTAAATCTTTTTATTGTGAATTGAGTGAAGGTTCACAGAGCAGATCATCAGTTTTACATTCATCAAATTATATACTTGGCTTCATTACAATGATTGCAATCCCCTTCTTATAACATCAGTCCTGATGTGGTGCTGTGGGTTAATGCACCAGACTAAAGCCGTTTGAACTGCAAGGTCGGCAGTTCAAGCTCACCAGCTACTCCTTGGAAACCCTATACAGAGTCCCTATGGGTCAGAATTGACTCGACGGCACTTAACAACAACAACTTCTATTCACTTATATTCTTGTCTTCCATTATCTCCTTATTTCCTCTGCCAACCTCCCTCTTGTTGAATATTGCCCCGTTGCCCATGTTAACATGTGTCTATAGCCCATGAATAACAGCCCCCCATAACCATCAAAAGAAATTTCTTTTAAAATTACAATTATTTTCTCTTTGGTTATCAAATTTTATTTTGAAGTTATAAAAATGTATCATAAAGTACATTTATGGGATCATAAAATGATCTCTCTTTTAAAGTTATTTTCCAGTGAACAAAAATGGTGGGGGGTTACCCCCGTTAGAGCTCCAGGTACCAGCAACCTCTCACGCACCGCCAACACTCCAAGACTTCTTTCTCACAAAGCTTGTCAACCAACTCGCGAGAATTGAGCTGTCCTTCGCCCCCTCCCTCCCAGCCAACTCAGTCCCACCCATTTCCTGTCTGCCGAGCTTCTGACGTCAGAAGTGCGACGGAGCAGGGGAACAGCGGTATTTGGAGGGGAAGTGCCCTTTACGGAAGTGATATTTACGAGGATCGTGGGTGGGATGGTTGTGGGAAGGCTGATTTTAAGACTTCTGCGGGCACCTTCCAGTGCCATGGCCCAGAGTCCGCTAAAGGGTGCGTCCCCCTCCAGGGGCATGGATCGCGGCCCACGGAGGCTCTCCATCGAAGGCAACATTGGTAAGGGCTGGAAAGTGGCTGCCACACCGTGGCCTCAGTCCTACAGGTGGCTGAGAGAACGGGGGACGCAAGACCCGGAATCCTGTCGTCTGAAAAGGCGGGGCTGCTTGTTCTGAGCTGTCAAGACATTTTCCCTCCCAAGCGCACTCTGAGCTTTTGCCTTTTTGTTTTTTCGTATGTCAGGTCTCAATACCCGCCCACAGGAGCACGTTTGCTAGGACGTAAGAAGGCACGCAGTTGGCAGACAGAACAAGACTTAGTGCTTAATTGATTTAGTAGATTAGCTAATGTGACGTATCGAAGACATTCTAGCAGCAAACAGCATTTCTTACATTAATTCAACAAATGACACAGTGAGCCAACCCCAGATGAACAGACACTGTATTTGACCCTGGGGTTACAGCAATGAACAAAACAAAATTTTCTCCTCTCATGGAACTAATATTCTAGTGGAGCGAGAAGGACAATAAATAACCTATTAGGCAAAGTAAACAATGTTAGATGGTAATGAGTGTGGTGGAGAACAACCAAGAATGAGGGGTTAGGAAGGGTAGTCAAGTGGCATTTAGCAGAGACGCAAAGAAGGTGAGGAACAGAGAGCTATGTGGAAACTGGGGGAAGAATCTTTTCAGAATAGAGAAAAGTAAGTCAAAAGGCCCTAAGCTGAGAAGTGTGTTTAGGGAACAGGAAAGCCAGTGTGACTGAGATAGAGTAAGCAAGGAGGAAAGTGGGGGTGGAGGAAATCAGAAGGGTAAAGGTTGACCAGATTGTGTAGACTTTGTAATCCATTGTGGTCTTCTACTGTGACTTGAGGGGGAGACCTTTGGAAGGATTGAGCGGTCAAGTGACATTATTACCATGAGTCAGAACTGACCTAATAGCAATTAACAACAGTCTTAAAAGATCAGTCAGATATGTTGAAAGCAGAAGGTGTCTGGAAGTTACTGTAATAATTCCCCTGAGTTATGGTGACTTGGACCAGAGTGGTAGCAGTGAAGGTGGTGAGAAGTAGTTAGATTCTAGTTGTTTTTTATGGTAGGGTCAACAAGATTTGGTGACAGATTGGATATGAGGTGTGAGAGAAAGGGGTCAGTAATGACTCCTAGTGTGGCACTGTAGGATAAGCACTGGACTGAGAAGTTTGAACTGCAAGGTCAGCAGTCCAAACCCACCAGTCACTCCTTGGAAACTCTATTTAGGGTCACTATGGGTCAGAACTGATTTGATGGCACTTAACAACAACAATAACAACTCCCAAGTATTTTGACTTCAAATGGCTTTCCAGTTTCTTTAAGTGGAGAATACCAAGGGAGGCAAGGTTATCAAGAATTTTATTTTAAGTATGTTATCCTATCCACTGCCATGTGATTGATTCCAACTCATAATGATCCTGTAGGACAGAGTAGAACTGCTCCATAAAGTTTCTGAAGCAAACAGCCTCATCTTTCAACGGTAGAGCAGCTGGTAGGTTTGAACCTTCAGTTTTCAGTTAGCAATCCAATGTGTAACCCACCAGGACTCCTTTTGAATATGTTCAGTTGTTTATATGCTTACTTAGACATTCAAGTAAAGATGCTGAGTAGGCAGCTGGATGTAAGTCTGGTGTGCAGAGTCTCTGTGGACTGGAGCTATAAATGTAGATGCTACATAATGCTGTTGAGAAGACTGAGCCTTGGAGGTTGCAAATGTTAAGAGATTGAGGAGATGGGGAGGAATCAGCAAAGCAGGTTGAGAAAGAATGGCCACTGAGGAGAAAAACTAAGTAATAGTCAAGAAGTGAATATGTTCAGGTGAAGGAAATGATCAACTCTGTAAAGCTGTTTAAGTAAATAAGTACTGGAGGTCTTTGCAAACTCAGTTATTAGGAGTGGTTAGCCTTAAAACCTAAGGGGAGTAGGTTCAACAAGAAGGGGGAGGTGAGGAATTGGCAACAGTGATAACTATTTGGATGAGTTTTCTTTTGGAGAGGAGACATGGGGTTGTGGTTGAGAGTTTTTTCTTTTCCTTTTATGGGAGAAATTGCAACATGTTTTTAAGTTGATGGGTATAGTGTAGTAGAGGGGGAAATCTTGATAATGGGTTGGAGAGGATAGAATCACTTGAGTGATGGCAAAATATATCAGCAACAACTCAGGTAGGTGTAATGGGAATCTGTGGAAAATCTTTTGATTGAGTCCGTTTTTCCTCATTGAAGTAGGAAACAAGGCCATCATTTGACTGAAATTTGAGCCATGGGCACGAGTTCATTTCCTGACCTGAAGGGTGACTAAGGACCATAATCTCAGGGTTTCACCAGCAATCAAGTTGATTTTTTTAAAGGAAATCAACTGGGATGTGTGAATATAAAGAAAGCTCCCAAAGCAGGCACTCCCCTTGTTTTGTCTTACTTACTGCAATATCCATAGTGCCTTGCATCCAGTTTGTTGAGTGAATAAATAAATTCATTGGAACCACTTGGAGCAAATAGACTAATGGTGGCTCTTTAGTAGTTGATGGAGAACAATCAACCTTCTTCGTGTCTCTGCTAAATGCCACTTGACTACCCTTCCTAACCTCTCATTCTTGATTGTTCTCCACCACACTCATTGTGGCTCTTTATTAGAAAATGCAGCCCTGAACAGAGGCAGTGGAGGGATGAAGAAGAAGTGATGGTTTGGAGAGATTTTGGAAATAGGATTGACAGGATTTGGTCACCACTTGAAGCTAAGGGGTAAGAAAGAGTAGAGGATGATACTGGAGTTTCTACATTGGTAACTGGCTCTAAAACTGAAAATGGAAATAAAGGAAGAGGTAGTCTGGAGAGATTAAGAGTAATATATTTTGTTTGAGGTGCCTGTGAGATATACACTTTGAAACATTTTAAAGTAGATTGGATTTGATTGGTTGGTTGGTTATGTGCCATGGAGTCAGTTCCAACTCATAGCGACCCTGTACAGGGTTTCCGAGGCTGTAAATCTTTACGGGAGCAGAAAACCTCATCTGTCTCCCGCAGAACAGCTGGTAGTTTTGAACTGTTGACCTTGTGGTTCACAGCCTGATTCGTAACCACTACGCTACCAGAGCTCCTTAAAGTAGCTTGGATTATATACCTGGAATTAAGGGAGAGCTGAGATTCAGATTTAGAACTAGTTGGCTTGTTGGAAATAACTGTTGAAGCCTAGGAAGTGAAGGCAGTTGCCTAAGGAAAATGTGATTTACGAGAAGTGGATTATTCCTTGCTATGGAATCAATTAAGGAGCTATGGTCACTCAGGGTCGGCAGTTCGAAACTACTAGCTGTTCCGCAGGGAAAAGATGAGGCTTTCTGCTCCTGTAAAGATTCACAGCCTCGGAAACCCTGTACAGGGTCACTATGCGTGGGAACCGACTCCACGGTACATAACAACAACAATAACATGGAGTCAGTTGCGACTCACAGCGACCTGATAGGACAGTAGAACTGTTCCATAGGTTTTCTGGAAGCCAACTGTCACACCTTTCTCCCTTAATGGAAGCCAACTGTCACACCTTTCTCCCATGGAATTGTTGGTGGGTTTGAACCTTTGGTTAACAGCCAATCACTTAACTACTGTGCCACCAGGGTTACTTAGAGGTGGACTGTTAAGTGCCATCAAGTCAGTTCTGACTCATAGCGACCCTGTATAGGATTTCTGAGGATTAGCTGGTGGGTTTGAACCGCCAATCTACAGCACCACATCAGGACCCAGAAGTGTACTGTTGTTATTGTTGTTTTGTGCTGTTAAGTTGATTCCAATTCATAGCAACCCTGTATAGGGTTTCTGAGGAGCAGCTGGTGGGTTTGTACTGCCAACCTTGTGGTTTAAAATCCAGTGCTGATTCTACAGCACCACACTAGGAGTCTAGAATTGGACTAGGGGCCTTAATATGGCTCTTTCTAGTTTCATCTCCCACTACTTGCTGTCACCCCACACATCCTGATGCCTCCCTCAGATTCATTAGTCACTTCTTCCTTTGTATGCTCTCGACACTATACTTACAACTGTTGCAGCACCTGAATTGGGTTGAGATTGTTTGCACATTCAACACCTTCTCTTACTCAGCATCCTGTTCATCGTCATATTGCCAGCACCTAACCCCCTGCATGACCCACTGTACTCATTCAGTGTTTACCAGATGCTTAAATTCAGTGCTCTCATATCCATGTGGATGTTAGTCACTGGTTCCCACAGAGGGGATATATTAAATGACTCTTTCCATCAGATCAAGAGGATCTTGTTGAATCATGGTTGACACCCCCAAACAAATCTAATGAAAGTACCCATTTGTGAAACCTGAGCAGAGAATGGTGAGCCCCTGTTCTAATTGAAATAGGTATGTTTAGAGGGGCTTCTTTGATAGTACTGTTGTTCTAAATCCTGCTGTCTGAATCTGGAGGTTTTACCCTGCAGATACCAGCATGTTAAGAAAGTTTGTCTATGGTAGCACCTAATGGCATCTAGCATGAGTTACGAAGTCATATGCAATGTGGTATTAGAAGTCCAAACCTGAGTGTCCAGAACCCCATAAAATCTAAAAAGTAAAACACCTTCAGAGTATTCCTCACTGAAGTATATAACTGACTTCCAAGGCCAGTTGTTTTATATGATTACAAACCTAAATTAAAGAAGGGCTTGCTGTGTGGAATGCTCTTATCAGTGAGTCCTGTCAGACTATTTTCACTTTTTATTTTTACAAAGCCCCAACCAGAGAAGAGGAAACTTTTATACTTTGGAGTCTAGAGACTTCTACAGTAAACTGTAGAAGACTCTCTAATAGCCTGCTAATTTAACATCACTAATATTTGTCTTTTACTTTCTTTCTTTCTTTTTTTGGATGTGTGCGTTTATTGCTGTAAATTGCCCTCTGAGCACTGCTTTTGCTATATTCCCAAGGTTTTAGTATGTTGTGTTGGTTTTTTGTTGGGGAGTGGAGTGGGTAGGAGTAAGGAGAGTAGTTAGAGTCAGTACTGTGGCTAGATCTAGGCAAGGTCTAGGACTTCCT